GAAAAACCTTTTTATTTTTTATTAGAACTAGGTTTTGAATATAATGTCTTTTTAAATGATGGCCATGATTGTTTTGACAAATAAGGGTTCGTTTCTTTGTCGCTTCCATAACGCTCCTTAGTGTATCAGGCGATAGTTGTGTTATTTCAGAACAAACGTTGTTTTTAAAGTTCTTGCAGATTTGTTGGATTTGTTACATAAACCCTTGACTTCAGGTAGAACCATAAGAAGAAATCGCATGGGGTCAAATGTTGGATTTGTTACATAAACCCTTGACTTCAGGTAGCCTCATAAGAAGAAATTGCATGAGGTCAAATCTGGAGATCGAGGGGGCCAAGGAATGTTAGCAAAACGTGAAATCAAATAATTTGGAAAGCCGTGGCTCCATCCTGTTGAAACCAAGTATTGCGTAGACCATGTCTCTCAATTTCAGGAATTATAAATTCGCTTATCATATTTTGGTATCTTTACTTTTAAAAAAGTATGGGCCAATCACATTGGAAGCAGTTATTCCGCACCAAACCGTCAAACAAAACTTTATTGTGTAAATTCTCGAGAGAGGTTCCCCGTTCGTCTTCAGACCTGAAAAAAATGTGCAACCAACAATTACGATTTTCAGCGTCCAGAAAAATCAATATTCATTTCACGTACACACCGATTGACCGGCTAATGTCAGTCTGCGCTAGTAGGCCTTATATGCAGTTCGTCATTCCTCCGTTATTGGCCGCGCACATTCAATATGGCCCTGAGGTAATTATAACTGGTGTCCAAATCGATATGTCTGTTGATGCATGCCTCGTCTGAGTATATTGCTTCCAGTAATTCACGGCCCTTTCTCGCTGGACAAGTGACAACAATCCGTGTGTTCTCCCATGCGAATCTGTAGCCGGCTTCCATTTTCTATATTCCAGACACAAGATCTCCGTTGCCTCACAGATCCGCGTGTACCAGCTCTTCGTGCGAACATTCCTCCAAAATATTGTTGAATGCTGAGCTGTGCACGCCGAAATCGAGCAAATATTGACGATATTTAACCACATATCAGACTAAGCATTCTGACTTGTTTTTATTAATGAAAAAGATTGCGGCGACTTGAGCACGCTCTTGGTCCTCCGACGTATTGAGTTGTGGTGGCATTGATAAGACCAGACGTAATCAGATTTGTACCAAACACAAGCTACGGTATTAGGGACTTGCCTAACAATTCCGTGAAGCATCCCATTACAATTTTCGAAAGCTGAATAAACGAATAACAGAAAATCTACAGCTGCTTGCACACACATGGACTTTCGACATCTCCATCAATTTTCAGACAGTCAGTTAACTGAAAGCGTCACCTTAAGAGAGACAGAGGGTACACCAGCCAAATTCTCCGACTGGCTTACTTTGCCTTCTTCTGAAATTGCAGAAGACAAAATGAAAGTCAGTTGATGAAGAGCGTTGCACGAGCAGCTCCTTATATTTGTTTTTACCGCTAATTCTCATTTTCGGCTGGTTGCTGACGTAATGTGCACCTTTCGATAAATGCTATGCTTAAAGCGTTGTTTCTGGGAAGTTTAAGAGACGCCTGGTTTTGTCTGCGCTAGGTTAGCTTTCCGAGAACACGGATTGGATTGGTTCCCAGCCTACCATACCAGATCCGCTGCATGCCTACCATGCCACAGTGCTCCAACAGCTCCTACCTTACCCTCATGACTTCAATTGCATGTTCTGATTCTCAAAATATACTTGACCCCTGTTCAATATGTTCAGACTAATGCACTCTTGAAGCACGAAGTTTCGAAAACACAACTTTTGAAAAGTACAGTTATAGGCGACGGAAAAGATAGAATAAACAAAAGTACAATTATACTGGGTGCGTGTCATGGGGCGGTGTGATCACAGGGCGGCTAGCGAAAATAAATGTTCCACCTGCAGATTTCACCTATTAGCCTATTGGTTTTCGGCTTTGCATAAGCTTCCGATTTACAAGCAAGAAGTCTTCGCGGTTTATTTATCTAACCTTGTGTGGGTTGTTCCTGTATCCTTTTGCGTTCCTGCAAAACACTGCTATATCCTATTTAAAGTTTGAATTACGTTCCTACTAACTTTGATCCGCGTTGCACTATACACCCTTTCAGTTGTGTCGTTTGCTTGAAAACATCCAACCAGTTGATAAGGTAATATCTAAGGCCAAATATCTTTTTGCTTTGAAGTGACTATTGCTGGCATTTTACGATACGTATGTCTTTATCTACACTAGATGAGATTTTGCTGAACTAGGAGCAGATGATGTCAGAGTTTACCATACCCAAAGAGGTAATTCGCTTTTTATAAATATTTTCTCTGTACTGGTTAAGTAAAATGAATTGAATACTTTTAGTTTTGACAATTCTCATCATGGATTAACTGCCTTCCACTGACAACTATACACAATTTGAATACCGAACGCTCAATAGACAGAGTCCTTTTTTAAAATGAATATTCTGCGATAACGCCTAATATGAGACTGGCCTCTTTCCAAGAAATATCAAATTGTTCATTACCACCATGGAAATGTAACAGTTTATTTTCAAGAAATTTAAAAAGTAGCCATACAAATGACAATAAGAAGATTATTATATTTCGGTAAGAAAACGTCTGAGCGGCTCAAGTTCCTGCCAAAAGAAACCCGAAGACATGCAAAAATATGGACCAAAACACTGTCCTGTTAATGAGCTTCCCGTTTTCATTTTCAGATCCTGTGGAACCCAATAATCTCTGCCGGGATCAGTCGCTATCTTTCCAGAAAGGACCGCTTAAACTGTCAGGCCTTAATACCAACCTGGGATCTACTTGCCATCAGAATTTTTGCACTATCTCCATCCTCCTGTAGAAGGCAGACATTAGTGCTCAGTCTTCTTGAAGATTCATCAGAAGGAATTGAGATCTTCCCCGTGGAATTTGCTTCAGAGCGGAGAGAAAATGTAACTCAACTTCTCTTTCAACTTTCCAGTCCCACTGGTACTGGACTCGCCAATGTAACTACCTTGGACCTCGTGAAACAACCGATCACGATTGAACAGTTGCGTGAACTCCTTAGTAGCTGTCCAATGCCTCGATTACGCGTCCTTTCCTTAACTCTTGCTGAAAGGAATCCCCGGCCACAGGTCATGAAGTGTCTAAAATCCAAGCTAAAGCTAGAAGAAGTTGCCATTCGCTTTATCGGAAACATATTGCCATACGAAATGCTTTTGCTGATGCAGAGCTTCGGCGACGTTCGCAGCATGCTCTGCGACGACTCCTCTCACCGCCGATACCGGTTACGACGTTGGCTCAGAAATTGGGAAAGTTATCAGTCCTGGATTCCACCTTGGTCTTTCCTTCAGATGCACCATGCATCTGAACTGCTTGATCTTTTCCTCTGTGAACGAAATTTTGTCATGCAGCTCCAAGAGTTGACCCTACTGACAGAGCCAGGTCACTTTGTGCCAAAAAGGTTCATGACTAGCTCTGCAATTTTGCCCCGGATTGTTAAATATCGTGTGCTCAAAAAACCACCACTGGGCACTCCGCAATTTTGCAGGGTTTGTGTTGATGCTGAGAAGAGACACTACATGCCTCGATTACATTGTCAATCTAATTACATGACACAGGACGGTGAAGCGGCAGTGAACTTCGTTGCATGTTCTCTTATGTCTGTCGAAGATAACTGCGTCCTTCACCCGCTCAACTTGCTTGATCTGTTCGTTCACGTAAGCCCTTCCGGTAAACGACCATCCCTCATTCTAACGAATACCTCTTCCTGTTCCACAACTGAGATCAATACAATTAGATGGCAAGCACCAATTAGAAGTGCAGTGGAAGACCTAATTCAGCAGCACTATTCGGAAATCAAGAGACTTTTAATTCGTGTGTGCATACCTGGAAATTATGAGATTAAAACAAAATATGCTCGAGAGCTTCCGCCTCTTGCCAGAGATCGCATCCTCCCAATCATTGAGATGTGTGGTTCATGTATTTTCTCCTTAGAAGTGTCCGCTGAGATCATTTGGGCCTGCTGCAATGACGTTCAAACCAACACGAAGCTTCTTCGTCTACAGGACAAGTGCTTAAATGTTCGAAAAGTGATGGTAATTGCCAGCGATTGCTCGGAGTTCGGACAACAACTTCGTCCATCTGCGAAGGATATTTCATCGTTCTTGAGTTTGTTTCTCGCTTTGATAGAAGTAAGAATTATTTCTTCTGGAATCTTCCGTGACCAGACTATTCATGAGGTTCTAACTAGCTGCAGATCTCTTCGGCGTCTCTACATATTGTCTTATGGAAACTTGAAAATTAACTACGCACCGTTACCAAACCATGGTACTCTCGAGCTCATTTTCCTGGAATTAAGTGACGTTTATGCGAACGCCTGTTGTAACAGACTTTTAAGGGAAACGCTATCGAACTTGTTGTCCCCCAGATACATTCTACTAAAGATTGGAGATGGTAAATATCCCAGCATTAAGACTTTGAATGCATTTTTTGCAACCAGGATTAAGTTACGGTGGTTGGTATTTGTCTTTAATAATGACGGAAGGGCTCTCTTGTGTCACACAGACGAATACAGTAGGACAGGTCTAGAAATTATCAAGGTTTCCATATTCCACCTCGGAAATATGATTCACACCTACCCAGAACTTTACGATATATTTTGGAGTGAGTTTCAGAAGTTTTCTACACACCCGCTCTACTGACCGCATTTTTGTTCATAGAAGTCAATCTACGATTGCCTCTCAATGTAATGAATTACCCTTGAAATCACCATTATGCCTGTATTTTCTCGTGTATGATACTGTTGTTTGATAATTATTTTGTTTATTTAGTAAATGAAAAAGTTCTATAATCTGAGCTAAATTCTGACAAAGAGAAACAATACAATTTTACATCTGACAATCATTAAATATTTCAAATATTACAAATTGTTTTGAATAATCCGCATGATTTATACTGCTGTATGATTGGTCCACCTGAATTTTGGATCCCCGGCGGCAAACTTTCGCGGACTCTTCACTAACTCTCCCCTTCTACGAATGGGAGGTAAATACAGACTACCGTTTCAGGCTACATCGATGTGCATCTATTCTTTCATCTGTTACCTGTGGAGCAGGCTGTATTGGCCGAACAACGCAACGTCTGGAGAAGAGAATACGCGAGCACATACCGGCATGGCTCAGCAAAGGAGAGAACGGACCGATTTCAAGCTCAATTCTCGCCCACCTCATTGATACGAACCAAAAAGTGGACGCAAAAT